AAAATTGTCCGATTTACATTCGGTTTGGACAGGGTGGCTTGTTTTTTTGCATAGAATTGATTTCTGAAATAAAAAAATAGGGGTGCTATTTGAAAAGTTCGACTTACGGGTGGGGCACCCCCCGCCCCGCGCCCCTCCCGCGGTTTGGGAAAATGTCGAATACACCAAAAGGTGTCCCCCTTGATATAAACGAACACGTCTTTTACCGTTTTTCGAAATTCCGACGCGTTCGGCAGATATTCAAGGTGACTCGTTTTTCGTGAGACACCCTGTATGCCTTAGGACGTGAGGTCTGTTATACATATATTATTATGGGTCTCAGGGCTCATGTCTTAATGCACATAGTTCCGTTTGACAGAAATACGTCCAATTCTTCAATATCTCCCAGGAAAATACTTTTAAAAGGTTCATAATAAGCTATCGAATGATCTTTTACTTGTACAAACACTGTTTCAGAAATAATTAAGGCGTATCTCAGCATATTTTGAAACATGAAAGCCCTGAATTCTGAAAGTGGAAAGATAAAAAAAATATTAAAAGTAAATGTATATACCAAATAGAACTGACTTTTAATAGGAAAGGAAATTGGTTTCAGTCCAAGAAATCACAAAAATGAAAAAATAGCACATAGATTTCTGAATAGATAGTAAACGAAATACATTTGAGTTAAAAAATAAAACATCGCTGAGAAATTAAGAGCGAGAGAAAGAGTGTATAGGAAACACGTTGCAAACTAACAGTATAATTTAGGAATCTCCTGGAATATCTTTTTAATAATAATGATTAATATAAGACATATAAACAAATTAAAAATCATGCTGTGGACTGCGAATATAAAATATTTCAATATGCAACCTTGGTTTTTGTAAGCAAACTGCTAAATTATTTCATTTACGCAAGGTACCAGAGACATTATCATTTTAAGACACTGCAACTGAGATACTAAAAATACTCTTAAGACGAAGAATGGCAATAGAAAACCTATTTTTATGCTGTTTGAAGACAGGACAGTTAAATTTTCACGGAAAAATAAATTACGAGAATATATCAGATTAATTTCAGCAAGTTAGATGACAAATGGACCTAAAAAATTGCAAGTCCGTTGAGTTAAAATGTGAAAAATACAGCGTATGAGTAGACGATGTTCTTCCTTATACATAGTGGACACTTATGATTGAGAAGAAGGAATGGGGCCACAAAACATATTAGGCACCCCTCTTTCTCTTGTTGCTTTCAGGCTTTGCATCAGCTGTCTCCAAATTTTTGGAGACTGCGTCACTTCCTGCAAAAAAGAAAAAAAGACAGGAAAGTTATAATTGATATCAGACACGAGAAAGTTTCCAAACAAATCAGAATCTTCTAAGATCCCGACTCATTTTTTTCATTTTTTAGATTAACGTATACAAGCATGAAAAACATGAGTTTTCATCGTTATTACTTCCAGGTCAATATTGGAAATTATATTGAAAACACTTAGTGTTCGTTCCCTTTAAATGCTCACCTGTAGCTCTTACAATGTTTATGTTAAAGTAAATCCGTTATCATTGGAAATATAGAGCAACACTTCGATGTACAACTTACCGTTGTGTTGCTTTACTTGCAATAAAGCTGTTTCTAGAGCATTTCGCACAATATCATTCACCGTGTTCAACTGCTTGCTGATTTCTTTCTTCCCTTCTCCAGCACTGAAGTAAGAAAAATCTTCAGGATCAGGAGCATTATGACAGCTGCAAATAGAATTAATGACAATACTCTTATAGAATTCAAAAAGTTTCATTCGTGTTCTTGAAAATCTTTAAAGCAGGAAAGTTTTCTAAAGTAGAAAGTCAGGGAGTGCTATAAAGCGACTTATATGTGCGTAAGTTTTTAAAAAAAAATTCTACTTACTCCAACAATACGTAAAGTGTGGACTAATTTTGGAGTATTAAAAAAATGTAGAGGGCATGTTGAATACTATAAAAAATCCAAATCCGTAATTTGACTACGCACATTACGGAATGAAGTTAAAGCTCAGCCAATAAAAAGTTGCGTTTGCAACTTGGTTTTTTCTTCTGCACTACTTATTTTAGACACTTAACACAGCAAAACGAGAAATGCGATTTCTCCTTAAGCATATTCACATAGACTTCCCCGTTTTTACGTATTGATGGCCAAAGTTGAAAAATTAGACCTCCAATAATTGCAATCCTGCAAATTACTCCTACCGTTTTATTTTTTTAAGTGAAAACTAACCAAAACCTTTTCTTGAAATTTTGGTTATTTTTTTTCTTTTAAAAAAATAAACACATGATCGGAAATTATTTAATGTTGCAATGCATGACTTAAGGGATTTTTCGACTTCCATATTTAGTCCGCTGCCGACTTTGAATTTCCGTGAGTAAATCTAGTATGATAAATATACAGTATGAAAATGACTTTGGAACTAATTCATCCATTTTGCATTGGAATATTTACCTTAGGCCAAGCTGCACCCATAGAGCGGTTGAAAGTGGCACATACTTTTTTATCAGCACTAATTTGTTGATCAACTTCTCGGGAACCACGGGCATTGTATCTAGGATTGTAGTAAAAAAAATCAAATTGATACTCTCCTCAGGAGAGACCGGCTGATTACATTTCACACAGTCTTCTTCAGATCTGAAACAGATGTCAAAACTATTTGATTCTTGATCTTTAAGTACAATATTTTAACCAAAAAAATGATCGAAGCTAATTGGAACTAATAAAGATAATATGTTCATCTCTAGATAGGAATTACAAAGAATCGATATAAAGTGAGGAAGCTTTTCCGCACAAGTCACGCACTTAAAAATTTAAAAAAGTAACTCTTTTGCGACGGAATTCTTTCGGTATGATTTTTTTCATTTGGTATGAATTCTTTTACCGAAAGAATTTTATCACAAGTGAGTTAAAAAGTGAGTTATTTATCATTTTTGATTTTTGAATAAGATACTAGCAGTTTGTGACGCAGCCCTAAACTATAATGCAAGCTCGGGTCCCCCTCCCCCGCGTAACGTATTTTATGAATGGCCGCCCCTCACTGTTCCCTCAAGATGGTAAAGCTTATTGTAAACACTTAGAAAAATAATCTCTCCTCTAAGAGCAAGTTCCTAGGAAGTACTCAATTGTATTTTTCATCTTCAATTTCCTGGATTGGATTGTATAAAATCCAAATGCAGTAGAATTTTCTTCTTTACCTACCTCTTCTGATTTGATACGTTCTGACGTGTTTAGTAGCGTGATTTACCTGATACATTTCAATAAACAGTTTTTGTGGTACACAGATCCACACTGCATGTGACAAGCTAACTTGTTGTTTCCACAGCACTGGATGGCATTCCCATAGTCGAAAAGTTCTTCATCACATTTCAAGCAAATAAAATCCTCAGCAGATGTTTGGTTATGATTACTGAAACAAAAATTTAAGATAAATTTATTTAGGATACATTTATTTAATATAAATTTATCTCAGTCTACATTTTTGTTCCATTCCTACAGAGTTGGCCTGTAAAATATGATTAGATATTTAATTATCACAAGAAAATCTCCTGATCAAAAGTTACACCCAGATTCTAATTTTTTTTTATTAAAAACAATTGCAAATCAAAGCTCATCAATCTGCAATCATATTGAGTAATCAAGTCTAAAATGTTCAAAATAACTCAAATTTTAGGGGTATGTCAGGTTCATTTCCTGATTCAACAGAAGAAAAAACTAAAAGGAAAAGCTGGAAAAAGAAGAGGATTCAAGCGTTATTAAAAGACCTTTGAAAGTTAACTACATACAGAAACATTTTCATGATCAAAAATCATTCGGAATTGTTATCTGATATTTGAAAGATGAAAAAAACTGAATTTTTTTTTAAAAAAATTGCATAATATTAAAAATTGCATACCTGTCCAAACAATCCATTAAACACAGCTCTGCTACTGCACATATCTCTAAAGTGCTCTCAGTCAGTGCATTTTTGCATCTTTTTCTTTCTGAATCATAGAAAGACCGGTGTTTACGTTCAAGATAATCTGTGTCAGATTCCTCGTGTTCCATCCTAGAATTTTAAATAAATAAGAGAAATAATTATTGAATTAATGCAGTCATTAATATGGGCCGTTATGTTTGATCTGCATGCCTCCTCAAAGAATACCTATGTAATTTGGCGATCTACAGCCTTAGCAGTCATTTTGATTTTCGACTTACAGGTCTCATTCTTTGACAAATTATGTAGATAAGTACTTTACTCTTCGCATCATTTTAAATCAAAAAACCCAAGAGAAAATCATAGGTTTTTTAGCTGGCCTGCCAAAAGAGGAAGGATGTGTCTCTGTGCATGCGCCGCTGGCGGGAACTTCCTGGTCTCTAACTGTAAATGCACTCCGAAAGCTTCATTGCCAAACACAAAAACTTAGACCAAAGTTGCTGTTTTGCGAGGCAATTTTTGGACACAGCCTCCTTGGTTGTAACATTACATTTTAGCCTAAGGGTGCAGTCTGAATGTTCACAAACTGAATAGACTCTATCGATGTAGAGATCAACACAGTAAAAAAATCCACCGTCTTATGAAATAGCACAAAACATCGTGTTGAAAATTTTACAATTATAAATATTTTCTTTCTATTATCATTTATTATTTTTTAGAATAAACACCTTGACTAAAAAATGCAGGAAATACCAACTTGCAATACAGCAAAGTCTTTTAGCACCTTCAGGAATTATATTAGGGGTGATAGTGTTTCCTGGTAAAAATTGGTAGTAGAATCTGTGTTCCAAAATACCATAGACCTACAGCCGGCTGTAAAATTTCCAATAGCTTCTATAGCCGGCAACACAATTTCTTATAGCCTTTTATAGCCGATGGCGATCAAGCAAAAGCCAGGCGTAAAGTTTATGCTAAACGTTACTAAATACGGATACTAGGACTTAGTTAGTTTTTGGACTACCGCTCTCTTTTTGGGCCGTAGTATCTTGATTTATTTTGCGAGGAAAACTCCGTACTTTTGAAGGATGCCTGCCATTCCTAATATGTTGGAGCGCCTGCAATTTCGTATGATACTGTGCAATACTTCTGGGGTGAAATAATTGCTTCAAGCGCCGTGATACGCTGCGGTGCGGCGCAGCGGGCGGGCAGCCAGCGCGTAACACGCACTGGCGCCGACAAACCTAACAGGGATACTTCACGCATTGCGCAATGCGTGAAGTATCCCTGTTAGGTTTGTAGGCGTCAGTGCGCCGCCGCTCCGCTTTGTGTTAGCCTCTAATATTGAATCTCGTGAGTGGAGTCAGCGTTTTTCAACTCATGACTTTGAAATGTTTGCACACTCTTTATGGATTTTTAATTGATGAAAAAAAATATGTAGTAAAGGAAAATATAATGTGCGTTCTGTAAATATTAAGGTGATTCCATACAAACTTAAGCTTTACAAAGCACACGAATTTCTACACAATTTCTAATAGCCTTTTATAGCCGATGGCGGAAAAGCAACAGCCAGACGATAAAGTGTAAAGCCCGGCTATAGAAACTATAGCCCGGCTGTATAATTTTTTATCGCTCCGTGTAGCCCGGCCGTATGATACGTATTTTTACCACTTTCTACAGCCAGCTATATGATTTTTTATCGCCTTCTTCAGTCGGCTATAAGAACTCCTATGGTATTTTGAAACGCAGCTCCTATCGCCAATTTTTACCAGAGTTCAGACAGTAGTATAAACTCTGTAGAATGTGTTCAAGTAAATATTTTCATTCTCAATAACACAAAAATTTATAATTTTAGTTTGTGTACTTACAAGTTGTTTAGTTCCATTCCGGTTTCGATCTGATGCTCGATGCTCGACTGTAACAATTCCAGCTTACTTTTCAATGAGCTTCGGACTACTTTGTCAACATTCTCAAGTCCCTTTATAGATCCGATATTGAAATTCAAGTTGACGATTTTTCCCTCTTGTATATATTTTTGGCACTTAGGGCATTTTTCTTTCCTATAGACAGAAAATATCGACCTGATTATACACCAATCAGTAAACAAGTGTCTCGGTTTTATCGTTCTTTTAACAATTTTTAAAGTTGAATTTTACCTACGGCAAATTTTATTCTTAAAAATATGCCAAAAAACTCAGCGAATTGTGACTGTAAAAAAGGTTGACGGAATGTTTCATAAATGTTGCCGTAGCGTTACATATCGACGGTGTAAGTCGGCAATCACATGACTCGGTTTGTGACGTCGCAGAATTCCTGTCATAATTTGTTTTTTTAAACGGACAACTACTCAACGACAATTCTTGAATACTGCCGTGATTTTTCTTCTCTGTGCGAAGAAAATTCTGAAAAACTTCAAGGAATGATGTCAAATTGTTCTCCTTGAAAAAAATAACCTAGAGGCAGAGATTTTCGGACACCGCAAACAAGATAATATGTGATTGCCGACTTACACCGTCGATATGTATGGATGTGACCAAAAATAAAGTTACTGCAAGTTCTCAGACCATCTCTGCATAGCGTAACCATTTATTGGGCGTTAAGGGTTTCATGTCACGTAATTTTGAATATTTTTTTTTCCTTCCTAAGGAGCTCTGCTCTTTAAAATTTATTTAGAGATTTCCTTAAATTTTCTTTAATGGTTTTTGTTAACAAGGGAGGAATTTTCGATCGAAAGGGTTATATAAAATGGTTGAATACATGACTTCCACCAATACAAGCTACTATACTTTTTCGTGCCAGCGTAACATTGCGTGCATGAGGCTTACAGATGATACAGAGAGTTGGATATTCATCAGAGGGAAATCAAATCAGTGCGTTTCCAATACAAAGATCAATTTGATCACGAGAAATATTTGATGCTTACCTCTCAAGACGCGTTGTCAAACATGCCTCGTGAAAGGTATAACCACAGCCAGAACAACAAGTAAGCTTGACACGGGACTTAATCGGTAAAATGCTAAGAAATAATTCCTCCTCACACAAATGACACGCTAATTCCATTGTTAAAATGACAAAAGTACGGTTCAGAAAGTAAAAGATGATTTTTTGTATTATATTTGTTTAGGCACGGAAATTGAACACTTCGAAGTGGACACGGATAGGAGTTCCCAAGGCCCCGAATAGTAAGACTGAAGATAAAAGATCAGCAAGCGAGTGCAGGAGGCTTGTAACCTTGAAAATAAGTGGGAATTCGGCAGTTCCGTTACTTGTAGATAAAATTGATCGATGTATGATAAGGCAGTTGATAGTACACATGATATGATTAAGTCAAAATAGTTAAAGGACGGGCACGGGTACTCGCCGCACAGTGAATCGAGTCAACTAGAGAGGTCGGACTTGAAATTTTTGACTAAAACTGCAAATTTTGATGTAAATTTCGTCGCATTTTAAATTTTATGGGGTGCCATAATTAGATGAAAATTTTACAAGGAAACCAATGGAAGCTCAATGCTTTGTGTAAACGGAATTAGAAGCTTTTAAAGTTTCCAAATTTTGTCCGACCTCTCTGTGACTCGATCCACTGTGCGCCTATTTGCGCGTTGATCTGCCGACAACTTTTCGAATTCGGCTGTTTCCGGCTACGAGCTGCTGATTTCCGCTGGACGATTGGGATTGCATTTTGCGAAAAGGAATCAAGAGCATTGCACCGTCACTAAGATTGTGCATTTTTTCACCTTGCACATATTAAAAGGATCGCATTTAGCAAAATGGAACCAGCGCAAAAGGTATAATTTAGATTTTAACAACAGAATCCGGTATCCTGTATAATGTTAATCTCCATGTAACGGGCGTAAATTTCTCTGACGCCTTCGGCTTGGCTTCAAATATCCCCTTCAGTAAATGGGACATGCAACTATTCGTACCTAGTGAGCGTCCGCATTGCCTACACTGCAACTTTGTAGGCGTTCGTATAGAAGCAAATCATGCAAACCAAATCGTTGAACTCATTGCCAGACGAATTGTTGAGCCCAGGCGTGAAACAGTAATGGCCAGTTAAACAGTAAAAGAGACCCTCCATGAGTGACACCAGTGGCGTGGCGTGTTTTGCGATTTATAGATTGTTATGTCATTTGAACCTATGGGGATGAAGGATCGATAATAACAGAAGTCCGCAGCGAACACCTTAATAATCGATTCTTAACCATAGGTTTAAATGGCATAACAATCGATGTATCGCAATTCACGCAACGCCACTGAGTGACACACTCAAAATACTATTTCACATTTGTTGAAATCCTCCCAAACATTGGTTTTCCAGCGTGAAAAAAGGTTGGGATTTTCAGAAACATATTTGGGTGAAAATGCAACGTGACATCAACGCCGTGGGAAACTTTATGCGTATGAAACTTCTCCCTCACCCTGTAACGTACTGTAACATAGCTTAACACTTAAAAATTACAAAAGTTTACTTTACAAAATTTCTGGGCGGCTCCATCATGGCTCAGCTTTAGAGTAGATACGAAAACATATACCTTCATTTCATCAAAGCCTCATAAAACGCGGATTAACTTGAAGAAAATATGATTTGCGGCTCTTATTAAGACAGCGGGCTGATTATTGAAATTGATAAACAAAGCGATAGACATACGAGATAGCGGCAAAATAGGGCGTTTCACTATCGCTTTGTGTATCAATTTCAATAAAAAGATGGAAAACCCCGAGAAGTAGATCACTTTTCCAATTGCTTTTAGTTCACAACGTCATTTTCCGAAAATCGCCCATATTCCAACCAAGTCCTCGATTTCGCTCAAAACCCAGCAACCCTGGATGGAAGATATTGCTCGCAAAATGAAACAGAAAGAAATGATGGCAAAATATGAGGAATGTCTCGAATTTTGCTCCAAATAACCTTCCGAAAATTGGCAGGACGCCGAACATATTGTAGCACCGATGCTGCAGCGTAGATGGATAGATCCACTGCGTGTCACGCCAGCAACATGACCTTAAGGTCAAGGAACTATGAGAACAAAAGCGTTTGATCATCTCACGTGAACCTTAGTAGGTAGACCTAAGGTTATTACACCTAAGATTGTTACACCTAAGGTTGTTACACCTAAGGTTGATACATCTAAGGTTACAACTTGGATTAGAGGAGGGTTAAAATTTAAATATTAAAGCTCTGAGCCTATTGAATCTGAGAATCATTTTTTGAGAGCCAATGCAAGTAGACAGAAATGCAAAAATAATAGAAGAAAACACCCCTAATTGAAGCCAGCCCTACGATGAAATATCTTGGTAAAAATTATTGCGAGCAATCTCGATATGTTCGCATGATGAAAATATAATTAATTTTCTTTTTTTCTTTTACGTTCTTCTCATTGATAAGAAATAAACTTTTCCGTCGCGTCGTCAAAATTATACCATTGACAACATTTTCACGAAATGTATGTTCTTTGTATGGCAGTCCGTACCGACATATGTCGTCGTTCGAAGGGCAGTAACTTCACTTCCAGCCCAGTTGCCACATTTTTTTAAATAATCACAATTCTTCATTCAGGAAGAGTATCAAATGCTACTTCACGACACCATTTCGCAACTCTGGACGGAACAAAGATTCGCTTTCCTTCCGCAGGTCATTCGAACAAAGCTCACCAGTGATGAGTTATGACTCATTGTGTCGCACGGAGTAATGAAAACTCAACGACAAGCGATCACAACTTTGATTGCCCCTTCGTCGGCGAGGGTATGCAATCACAATTGCGATGGAAGTAGCTGCGCAGTCCGGTTAGTGTAAGATAAATAACGGCAAATTCCCTATTCTCAGGGGAACTATTAGAACAAAAAAAGCTTTTGCCTATACCATTATTACGTATTTTAAAATGTATATATTATTTTCTTTTAGGGGCCGTCCAACATTACGTTACCCATTTTTTTCAATTTTTTGACCCCAATCCTGTCTGACCGTATCCAACCTTCATCCACTGCCAGACCCCCCTCCCCAATTTTTGGGGGAAAACGCAGAAAATCGATAAAAATCAGTAGATGTACCTAGTCTGCAGCATTAAGAACACGATTCATTAATTTTATTGATTATTAAATGTATGCTGTGTTCTTCCCCCTTTTTGGGGGAGAATGCAGACAACCGATCGCATTTTTAGTCTTTTTGCCTTCAGAAAAGCTTACGTCATCCATCGCTTGATCCTCCCTCCCTCCCTGTCACCACCCGTCATACACAGCTAGGACCCCCCCCCCCCTAATTAGTGCTCAAAAATGACATAAGGATTATGAAGCGATCCTATTGGTTAAAATGAGTGGTTCTCAGAGACTAAGGGAGAAAATGATGGAATAACTAAATAACGGGTCTGCCGTGGGTTCGTCCATTACCTATCTCCTTTGTCCATGGCAACCAACCGCTTCTTTCTCTATCACTTTGTCTACCAATTTCAACAATTAGCTCGCAGACTGACACCCGGTGAACTCCCTCTGCATGAAGATCCAAAAAGATGAAACGAAGCTTATACTCTGCAGAAAGATCCGGTCATCTGTGATACATCGAAGCGTGACTCTCTCATCGGACGAGGTATCGAAACCCGCTCAGTGAAAGCGAGAAGAGCGGACATGAAGCGCGAAATTCGATTTGACGCGGGATCCCACTGTTCTTGTTCGCAGTGAAGCGTGAATCGTCGGCTATCGATGTTTCCTTATTTAAACCTATGGTAAAGAATCGATTATCGAGGTACACCCCGATAATCGATCCTTTTTCATAGGTTTTAATGGCATAACAATCGATATATCGCAAAGCACGACACGCCACAGTGTATTTTTGGACGGCCTCGGACTCGGTCATCCGCACCGCGGTCATCTACTTCGGATTTTTGCGCAGCGGCGGGCTGATTATTGAAATTGATAGACAAAGCAATAGACAAAGAAGACAAAAAGGATTTGGAGGGATCCTATTGGTAGAAGCGGGTGTTTGCAATGGACAAAGAAGGTAGGTAATAGACTAACTAACGGCAACTCACGACAGACCTGACAGTTAGTCTATCATTTTCCCCCTTAGTCTATGAGAACCACCCATTTCAACCAATAGGATTGCTTTATACCTCCTATGTCTTCTTTGTCTATAGCTTTGTCTATCAATTTCAATAATCGGTCCGCTGGTCAATTTTACTCTATTATACTAACCCAACCTATTCTAATACTTTCAAAATGCGATTTTGAAATTTATTTGTTTTAAATTCTCAGAAATAACGTGCTCGGAGTAAAGATTAAAGTGTAAATTTTAATATTAGTTGTTAGACTCCTATACTGAAATTGAAATTGAGGAGCTTGGAGGATAAGGCGCATAAGTGCAGTTTTTGATAAAATTGAGATATGAATGATTTCAAGTAAAACTAGTCCTATAGCATTATCTGTGAAAAATTCGACGATGAATTTCTATTTTTAAATATCAATAAGTCAGTTTGAACTTTCTATTCGTCATAAGGATTCACGTATTTTTGAAATTTCAAACACGTATTTCTTGAGACAGCAAAAACTGCACTTAAGCGCCTTGCCTTCCAAGCCCCTCAATTATCAAACCTATTAATAATTTTGAAACTATTAACTCCTTTATATATATTTTCTACACTATGCCTCACTCATATGAATTGAGGCAAATCAGATGGAATGAATATTATTTCATATTATAGACCAATTATTACCTGATTTTTTATCCAATCATTTAACTTGTATCCAAAAAAGAGGGGATATTTTGAAAATTTTAATCTACACTCCTAGTAAAATTAAGAGAACAGTCGCACTAGCGCTTTCAAGCCCTACTCATGAGCCCATGGTTTGTCGATGCTTGAAAAATTCCAATCTATATTCATGGACAGTATTAAAGTCTTTGTTCCGATCCTCAATATTAAAACGATAATAAGCAAATAATTGAAAGAAATTAAACTTCAGAATTTTTTCATTTATTTACTGTTTTTATGAGCTTCCCAAATAAATAAAATAACCTGAAAAGTAGAGTAAGATAACTTGCTAAAGAATTTATTGGTCGATTGAAGGAAATATCTGATCTTCGATCTCCAAATTTCCAAGTGGTAGAAACGAAGTACTTTCTACCTGGAAAAACGTTAAAAATTACCATGTTTTATTACCTTTCTTTCTACCATCTAACAATACTTTAACTGGATTTTTCAATGAAA